GCAGGAAGAAGCAGCCAAGCAGTGTACAGCACAGGATTAAGATCTGTTCCAGTTATGACCCCAGAGCATAACACGTGGCCCCTGAATCAGGAAACAAAGTACAGCCCAGGGCTTTCAGGATGCTGTAACAGAAAAGAGGCTAGGCGTGTTAAGTGTTCTGTTTGACTATCAAGTTGGGAGTATTTGTTGCAGTTTTTGTCTAGTTTGGTCACCAATACAGAATCAGAGGAAAATTCTTCCCTTAAAAAGTGGAGGTCCATGGGGCTGGGGAGATGGCTCAGTGGTCTAAAGCACCTACTTAGAACAAGCTTAGCACAGGGACCGCGGTTCAATCCCCCAGCACCACATGCCAGCCAGCCCCGCCCTCAGGTGGGCTGAGCTGGCCACACACACACACACACACACACACTAAATAAAATAAACTTTAAAAAAAAAAAAAAAGTGGAGGTCCAGGATTTGAGCAAGCAGCAACAAAAAAAGGAAGTCTAGCTGATAAAGTTAGTGAAATTGTCTGAAATTAATAAGCACATTAATAGTATAATTTGGGGCTGGCCTGGTAGCTCAGTGGACTAATACACCTGCTTAGGCAGAGCACAGCAGCTGGGGTTTGATCCCATGGGGTGCAGAGACAGTGAGATGGCATTTGAGACTGGGTGTGGTGGCACACCCCTGTAATCCCAGCACTTGGGAGGCTGAAAACAGGAGAATCACTACAAGTCCGTTCTACGTAGTGAGACCCTGTAGACCCTGTAGATTCTGTCCTAAATACAGGGAAAATAAATAGTATAATTTGGTTTAAGGAGGCTTTCCTGTCCACAGTGACAGGTGCTCAATGCTGGAGCAGACCTGGATGAATAGTGTGGGAGCTTGGAGGGAGGGAGCTGGAGATGGAAAGCCTCCTAGAGCCTGCGTGATGGCACGTGCCTGATTCCAGCATTCAGGAGGCTGAGCAGGAGGGTTGCTCCACATCTGAGGCCAGCCTGGACTACATAGTGGGACCCCACCTCAAAAAAAAAAATAAAAAATAAAAAGTCTGCAAGTTCATGACATGAAACTAGAGTTAGGCATGAAGAGGGCAGCCAGAGAGGGACCAGGAGTCCATTGCCAGGCCTATTCCCACATCTCACCTGTTAGAATCAGACACCCCTGACTGTCGTTCTGGCCTCTTCTCTGACCATGGACTGGGCTCAGGCCTGGCAGGGCCTTTTTCCATCTGTTTAAGGCCCTGGAGTGTGAGTTCTTGGCCTCTCCCTCTGGCTTTGGCAATCACTGCCCCTTCATCTACCTTAATCAGGGCTATGAAGCATTGTTTTTCATTTCCCCCTTTTCTGCCCATTAACTACAGCCTATTAATTAGTGCCATTGGACTCCTGTAATCCCCCATCACTGACTATGCCTGGCCTCCACAGCTTTTGCTAAATGTGTGACTGCGCCTTAGGCTCACCCTGAGAAGTGATTGCAGATCTTGGCTGGGCTGACCCCCTGCTACAGCTGCCCTAAGTAGCCACAGATAGACCAGATGCTTCATCTTGATTAGCTCTTAAATTTTCTGCCCCCCCCCCCATCTTCCTCTCTGACATTGTTGGCGCCTGGCACTAAGCTATAGGTTAAAAAATTTCTCTTACTCTGGAGCTCTTCTCCTTGAGCTTGTTCTCTGCATTCCCTGGTCCTGCTCTGGTGGTACAGAGAACAGTGCTGTGGGGTCAGAGGGACTGGAGTGAACCCCTCTCCTGATGGATGGAGTCTCCTGTCAAGACCTTTGTCAGCTGGTTCTACATCCCTTGACAATTATATGATCACAGAGGCTTTGTTCTGTGTTACACTTAAACCTCAGCTTTGATGTCAGCTCCCTTTCTGTCTATGAAATTACAAATTCTCAAGGCCCTGGTTTTTTGTTTTTTGTTTTTTTGGTGGTACCAGGGATTGAACTAGAAAGTGCACTTACTCCACTGAGCTATTTCCCCAGCCCTTTAAGGTGGGTTTTTTTTTTTTTTTTTTTTTTTTTTTTTTTTTTTTTTTTTTTTTTTCTGGCTCAGGCTACCTTAAGGGCGGGTTTGATAAGGCATGTGGAGCTGGGGATCGAACCGTGGTCCCCTATGCCTGACCTGAGCTAACCCGCAAGCCCCTAAAAGCCCTGTCTTTTTTTTCCCCACCTATTTACCATCCTACCCAGCCTCCCTTCACCCTCACTCCTTGAAACTCCTCCAAACTAACTCCCCAGTTCTGATCACTCCAGCATTCTACTTCTTTGCTCTGAGTAAGTCCTTATTTCTCTCTCTGTTTGATTCTTCAGTCCTCTTTCCCCTGGGATTCCACTTGCCCACCCTGCTTCCTCTCTCTCTCTCTCTCTCTCTCTCTCTCTCTCTCTCTCTCTCATGTTCCCGTGCCTGTGCCATTGCTAAGCCTGGGATAGGGAAGGACATGATGCCTTCTTTAGCAGTAGCCCTGCCCCTGAGTGAAGCTGCAGGGCAGACAGCCTTGCAGATGGTAGATGAAATGGATTCTATCACGATGATGAAGATCCAGCTAGCTCTCAGTGATTGAGAGTGGTCATGTGTCAGGCATAGTGCTGAACGTGTGTCCTTCCTGTGGCCTCAACTCTCCATTTTTTAGATGAAGAAAGTAAGGCCCAAGGACTTTGATCCCCAGATCTGCTGTGTTGGCCTGGTGGCCCCTGGGGTGCACTGAGATGGCATTTGAGATTTAGCATGGTGGCACGCGCCTGTAATCCCAGCTCTTGAGAGATTGTAAACAGGAAGATTACTATGAGTCCAATCTAGTAGTGAGACCCTGAATACCCTGTAGACCCTTCCCTAAAATACAGAAAGAAACCAAAATCTTTTTTTTTTTTTTTTTTTTCCGGAACCAGGGATTTGAACTCAGACCTTTGTGCTTGCCAGGCAAGCACTTATTCTACTGACCCAGAAACCAAAATCTTGATGGCACAATTAATTTATTTTTCTAGACAGGCTTTCCCTCGGCAGTTCAGGCTGGTCTTGAACTTACTTCAGCCTTCAAACACACTGATCCTCCTGCCTCAGCCTCCTGAGTGCTGGGATTATAGGCATGGATCATCACCCTGAGCAAAATGATTTTTTGGGGGAAGCTGAGTCTCTGGGTCACTGTGCTGCTCTTCCTTTTCCCTCAGCCCCAGGGGACCAAATGTGTCCCAGAGTATAGCCTCTTCTTGGGTTTTTGCCCCCTGCACATTTGCCCCAGATTAGGCCTGACCTTGTTCCACTTGCAGGGGCCAGATTAAAGACCAGCAGAAGGATGTGGGAAGTTTGAGGGCCTCTGCTGGCCAATTGGAAGTGACTGGCTAGGTTCTGAGCTCCCATCAGCTGCTCCTGCTAAGACAATCATCAACATGAAAGGCTAATTGTATTAATCACCAAGGCACCCATCCCAAGTCCCCCTCCCTTTGGGGAGAATTATGAATTGCGATTGCAGATGGCTCCACTGATTGAAGGCAGCGCTCAGCAGGGAGAAGGGCCAGATCAGATTACACACCATTAATTAAAAACTTCCCCTGACAAAGAGGAGGAAGAGAATGCACACTATGGGCCTGCCTGGTTGGGGCTCTGTCCTGGGGTGGGGGTGGGGCGCTCCCCTGCCAGGCACAGGAGCTGTGGCAATGAACCTGCTTCCCCAGCCGGAACTGCTGAGATTCACATTCGGCTTGCAAAGGCCAGACCGTCCGTCATCGAAACAGATGGCCTGCTGTCCTATTAAAGGGCTCCAGAGGAGGAGAAGCTAACCTTTGGTTGCTTACTTCTGCCTCTAACCTTCGATGCTCTTCAGCCTCCAACCTAATTCCGTACTTCTCAGGAAGCTTATCTCTAGCTTTGGCTCTAGCCTATCCTGACCATGGAGCAGTGCTGAAGAAATGGGCAGTGAAAATAGCTCCAGCCCCCGCCTCCCCTCCGCCACTGCAGGAAACACCTTTGGCCTGTGAGTTTTGGGACACAAAAGGCTGCTTTGAAGCGATGGGTGAAGACACAAGTGTCTGGCCAGGGCCATCTTCCCAGCCCCTGCCTGGAAGCAGAGGCTTCTCTGCTGCTGTCATTTTGGCTTACTTGGAGCTGTAATTCTTGAATTTTCCTCCTCTTGATCAATTCCTGCCTCCTGTCCCTCCCCAGATGCCCAGCCTCAGTCATTCATTCATCAAACTTCTATTGAGCACTCAGTGTGTGCTTGGCTCTGGGGACACTGAGATAATTTGTCAAGGAGCTTAAGAGCTCATCACAGGAACTCACCACCCCTTCAGCCCTGTCTCCTTCCTCTGCTGCAGCTTCTGGAAGCCCCCCTAGAGCTCTATTTTGGAAAATTCTTAGTGGGAGCTGGGGAGGGGTTAGGGATCTGTTTGACTGTGCTGGGTGACCTTTAGCAAGTCACTCATATCCTCTATTCACAAACATGCAGGTACACACGCGCGCACACACACACACACACACACACGTGCTCACAACTCTTCCTGCACATGAAAGGGCACAGGAAGCCCTAGGCTCTTGAGAGATCACAAAGATGGATGACTGGGACCCAGATGGAGAGATGTGAAAAGCACTCAGACTGACAACAGTACAGAACCTGGAGCAGCTGCTGAGGCTACAGGCACCAGGGACTCACTCAGCCACTGTCCTGGTCATGGGCTGGGCCTGTTACCCCATTCTCGGAAACCTTGGGCACCCCCACCCCAGCCTCTTGGGAAACATCATGGAGAAGAACCTATTTTTTTTTTTTTTTTTTTTTTTTTTATGGATTTGGCTGCTGCTTCTCAGGGTACCATGGTGATGGGCACCATAGAGATGGGAAGAAATGACTTTTATTGGCTTGTCTCTTCATTCCAGGTCCTGTCCCACCCCCACTCTCAGCTGGACCCAAGAGAGAAGGAGGCAGGGCCCCTGTTAAAGTAAACGTAACTAGAGACAGCAAATCTTGCTTTTCTCCCTTATTCCCTCCTCCCTCCCATTACCAGTAGCAGTTATATTCAAACCCAGGAATTACAGTAACAGCAATAATCATCATTTATTGGGGTTGATTCTTAGCATTTTCTAGCACTCCTTAAAGCATTTTCTAATCTCTTATTGTTTTGCGGCAGTCCTGGAGAAAAGATTGTACCCATTTTACAGCTGGGAAGCTGAAATCCAGGCAGGACTCCAAGTCATAGGCAGAGTGATTACAGCAGCCTTTAAATGTTAACAGACCGATCCAGACCCCTTAGTCCTTCAGAGGCTCTGAACCTTGAATCTCAGTTTCCTGGGTCCTTCCCATGTTCTCTGCTTCTAGGTCTTATTTACCAGCTTCTGTAGGAAGCCCATGATGCTGAGGAGGCTTCTGGCTCAGGCCATGAGCTGAGGGCAGGGTAGAGACTCACCCAGGGCTGCCCCCGTGACAGATTGTAAAGGGCCTGCCCTGACAGAAAGCTCCTTTCTCATATCCTGCTCTTTGCCAGCTGAGGAAAGGTTTCTCTCCAAAAGCTCTTCCCAAGGGTGGGCACCTTTGTGAGCATGGGGGAAGAGCTAGGGTGAAAAACCACCGAGAGAGCAAGCTCCATCCTCAGGTGACCGTAGTCTGATGGAATCACAGCCCCCCAGACTAAACCCCTGGGCAGACCCCACCCCACCCCAGGAACTCGAGCTATCCAGGAGCATGATTCTTCTGGAAAGTGTGTCCCCTTCCCTCTGGGCTCACTAAGGTCCCCTGGTTAAAGTCCTAGAAGAATGGTTGCCAGGGCTTTAATTCTCTTTCCCCCAAGACAAGGATCTGGAGGACCAGGGCTCTCATAGAGTCTAGCTGGCTGTGACAATGTGAGAGCATCATAAAGGCCAGTGCCCCCTTCTGTTCTATCCCCTTAGGAAACAAGGGAGAGTTAGGGAGAAGAAAGCCAGACAGATTTGCTCCAAGATTTATTTTACCCATAGTTGTAGCAGGAGGGTGTGTGTGATATGCCTGTAATCCCACTACTCAGGAGGCTGAGGCAGAAAGATGGTAAGTTCGAGGCTAGCCTGTACACCTTAGCAATACTTCATCTCAAAATTGAAAAAAAAAAAAAAGTGTAGGTGTAGCTCAGGTGTAATATACTTGCCTAGTGTGAAGGAGGCTCTAGGTTCCACCCCCATTACCATTTTAAAAAGAGCAAAGAAATGTAATGCCATGGATAGGAATTGGCACTCCCAACCCAGCCCACCCTGTTAGAAAAAGAGACTGAGCCTTCTGGTCCCCACTCTAGTCCTCTCACAGGAAAAGCCTCGAGTCAAGTCTTGCAAGGCAGGGTAGCTACTCCTCTGTATGGCTATGCTGTCTCACACACTCACTTCTGTATCCCCTGAACTGGAGTGGGAGTCTTTTTTCTCAGGCTCCACCTCTACCACTTTCTCCACTTCAGTGGTGCCCATGAGGATGGCCAGTCGCTGGGCCATAGTCTTGGTGTCAGGGAACAGGATGAAGTTGTAGATCAGCGAAGCCAGGACAGCCCCTGTCAGGGGGCCTACCCAGAATATCTGAGGAGACAGAAAGAGGCACCCAGACATGGGGAATCAGAATCCTAGGGTGGTTCGGGAACCCTGCCTAGTTCCCCTATTGCTGACTTAGCTCCCCCGAACTCGCACACTGCCTCTCAGGTGGAAAGTTGAGATCTCCTGAGCCTACGCGATAAAGGGGCCTTGCCTTCTGTGCAGTCCGCTTCGCCCTGGCTCACAGCCGTGCAGGGCTGTCCTCACCATCTCCTGCCTTCTTGCTTACTTTCCCCATTTTAGCCAAGTTCTGGCTATTGCTGTTTCTGTCTCTGCTGCTATGTGTGTCTATTTCTGTGTCTTCTTCCTTATTCAAGTTTCAAAATTGGTCCAGCTGGAGAAAGTGAAGAAAGAAACAGCCAGAACAGAAAGCCTGGGCCGAGGATGCAGCTCCTGCCCTGGCCCATTTCTCCCTAATTCACTGGGTACCGTGGGATGCTGGAGATGGGAAGACAAGTACAGGAGAGGACAGCCCCCGGGGCCTTCGGAGCATGGGAAGCCTCCGCTCCAGGCTCATGGCCTGCACTGGGGCTTGTCTTCCCAGGATCTGTGGCCCCAAGCTGGTGAAACCCACTGGCTCTCGTGCCTCTGCCCAGGCCCTGTCCCTTCCCAAAGCAGCCCGTGGGGGTTCTCACCCAGTGCACTGTGAACTTGCCGATGATGACTGCAGGGCCGAAGGAGCGGGCGGGGTTCATGGAGCAGCCGGTGAAGTAGATCTGGGGAGCAAGTGTGGGGTTAGGCTGTGGGGACGCCTGAGGAGCCTGGGAGGGGCAGCTCCCTTTCCCCTGCTCCCAGCCCTCTCCCAGCCCCACTGTACTGCCTTATATCTTGGGCCTGGAGTATGGGGCACTCTCGCTACCCCAAGGAATGAGGAGCTCAGGGAGAGACATTTCCTGGTCGTCAGGGCCCCAAGAGTTCCCCAGAGAGGGCCCTGGTGTGTGCATGTACGTGCTCTCCCTTTGTGTCTTACCCCGATAAGGTGGCCCAGTGCCACTGAGGTTCCAATCATGGCAGCTGGGGAGCCCAATGTATGGCGGCTGTCCGTGGAGGCAAAGACACACAGCACAAGCTGCAGGGTCAGAACCAGCTCCACTGCCACTGCCTGGCCAGTCGAAGTGCTGTTCTGGACCTTAGCAGAGGAGGGGTTACACGGGGTGGACATGGGCCCTGCCTACAGGATGGAGAACCCTTGGGCTCATATCACCCCAGGATCCTTGCTCCCCACAGGAGTGGATACAGGAGCTCAGCCCTGGGAGGAGAAGGAAGGGCTGCGATGCAGGGGATGCATATTTGAGGGTAGAATGTGAAGAGAAGGACGGGAAAGAGTGGAAGGAGAAGTGGGCCAGGCAGCAAAGCCAAGCCGAGGAGTGGGGGAGGGGAGGGGAGCGGGCCTGGGGCGCTTGGGAGGGGCAACATCTGGAGGAAATGAAAGAGCAGAGAACAGGCGGTGCAGCTTGAGGAGGAAACAGGAGCCTGCAGGAGCCCCTGCCTCCCCCCATATCCCAGCCTGTTCCTGGCTATGCCATCCTTAGATGTCTGGTCCTTCTCCATTCTCTGTTCCTCACACCACATCGCTGTCCTGCCTAGGTAAAGCCAGAGTCTGATTCCTCTGGGCCTCAGTGTCCAGCTGGGAGCAGGAGTGGAGCTCGTAGCTGAACTGTAGTTCCTGCATCCCCTCCCTCAGGCCTGGCCCTCCACCCTTGCCCCTGATTGGACTCCCTCCTGGCCCTGACAGGTGCCCAAGCACTGGCCAGATGCCCCTCCTCACACCTACCACGTTGATCCCTAGAGTCCCTCGGACGTCTCCTGGGGCAACCCCATAAAGCAGGGCAGCTCCCACCGTGGCCCCTGCCAGCTGGGCAGCTATGTAGGCCATAGCCCGGGGCAGGGAGATGTGGGAGGCTACGAGGAAGGCCAGCGTCACAGCGGGGTTGGCGTGGGCCCCGCTGGTCTTCCAGGTGACCTGCACTGCCGTGGCTGTGGCCAGGTTGAAGGTGATGGCAATCTGCAGCACAGAGGGAAGGGCCGAGGGCCAGCGCAGGACGGAGCCCACACCAAAGAACACATACAGCCCTGTGGCCAGGAACTCGGCGAACAGTGCCTTGCTGACCGCTGTCCAAACCTGGCACACCAGCATGTGAGCCCCGCTCCACAGCCCCGACTCCATGTCCTCGCACCTGCGCCTCGGTTGTCACCTTCTTTTCTTGAGGGGCCTCTCTCTTGCCTACCTGGACTCTTGTCTGCCTAACTCTGGCCTCCACCCTGTGGAGGCTTCACCAACCCCACCTGCAACTCTTCTGCTGAGCTGCTGCTGAGGAAGGAGCTGGCCACACTGGCAGGACACCTGCCTGCTGGTGGGTTATGCACGTGGGGGTGGGCAGACGGCACCCTGGGAGGGCTGCTGCTCACATGCTTTCTTCCCCTGGGCTTACCTGATGTGAGGGGCAGATAAGCCAGCATCCCTGGGAGCTGAGCTGGAACCTCTAGGAGGCTTTCCAAGTCACAACCCAGACTGAATGGCCTAATCCTGCCTGTCACAAGGGTCTCACCAAAGGCTGCAGGCACAGGGGCAGACAGGAAAAGATCCCTCAGATTCACAAGTCCAAGGCCGTCTTCGGGGGCTCTATCTCTCCTGACTCCTGTCTTCAAGCTCTGCCTCTAAATAGGCTGAGCCTCTTCTGCATGCCATAAACTCAGACATGAAATTAAGCTCTTGCTTGCACTTCTACCTAAAACTGTGAATGTCGACTGTATGAAGGAAGTGACCATGGGACAGGGAAAGGAGCGGGTGGAGCTGCTCACCCTGTGCCAGAGGCTGCACCAGCGCGGGTGCTGCTGCTGTGCACCTGAGGAACGCCCACCGGCCCCTGGCTCCCTTCTTCCTCTCTGCCTTCCCTCGCACCCCCTTTCAGCCCTCCCCCTCTGCTCACTTCCCTCTCAGTGCCCCCCAAATTCCTATTTGCTATGTCAGGTAACTTAACCATTTTTGTAGCCATGCTGGCCCTGTTTTCCTCTTTTCCCTTCCAGCATTACATCAAGACATTTTGTCTAACAAAGACCACCCCTTCCTCAGTGTTGGTACATGCTTGTAATTCCAGCTACTGGGGAGGCTGAGGCAGGAGGATCACAAATTCAAGGCCAGCCTGGGCAATTTAATGAGACCCTGTCTGAAAATAAAAAGGGCTGGGGGTATAGTTCAGGTCCACAGCACTTAGCTAGCATGCATGAGGCCCTGAGTTCTGTCCCTACTAATGAAAAAATAAGTTTCCTTTCAAAGAAAATCTGTGCAGAGCTGTTGAAATAATACCCACCCCTGGGTGCCTTGATCTTGTCCCTGGCCATATCTACCTGCCCCTAGATGTCTGCTGGTTGTCCTCAGGTCCTCAAATGTAATTTGTCCCAAAATGAGATCCTCATCTCTCCTGCCCCCATTTCCTGCTCTGTAGCCTTGGTGGCACCCGGGCAGCATCCTTGGCCCTTCTCTTCCCCTCCCCTCATCCAATAAGAGCACTAAGCCCTTTTGATTTTGGATCCTACATGCGTTTGCACGGTGCCCTCTTTTTGCTGCCCTGCAGCCTTTAGCCTGTCTCTGCTCACTTGCTCGGCTCTAATCAATTCTCCACACCGCAGCCCGAGTGATCTTTCCAAAATGCAAATCTGATCCTGCTGCTTCCTGAAATCCCCACCGAGCCTTCCCTCCCTCTGGAAGCCCCATGCCTGGCTGACAAATTCTCTGGGATCTGCGCCTCTTGGCTCCCCTGGCCCTCCTGCCTGCCTTCACAGCCTTTGCCCTCTGGCCTTCTGTCTTCCTTGCTCAGCTTGGGCAATTCCTGCCTTGGCCCAGGGCTCAGTTCTCTGCCAGGTGAAGACCCCTCTGATCAGCTTCATCCAGTCACACAGGGAGTCTTCACAAGAAGGCAATAAACTCTTAGGGGTCAAGAATCAGGTTTTGTTCAACTCTGCCGCAGTGTCTTACTTAGACTATAGTAGGTGCTCAAAAAAAGAACTGTTGAATAAGTGAATGAAAGAAAATTTGATGACCTGGAGGCAGATAACTTTCATACATGGTGCCCCTATAGCCTGGGACCTGTCCTCCCCTGGGAGCAAGCCCTCTGATATCCTCAGGGGAAACATCCTCTCCACCCCAGGGGCTCTGAAGAAGTATGGAGGACTCGGGGAGCACAGTGCCCTGCTCCTAGCTGTTCTTGCCACCCTTTGCACCATCATTGTCATTCTCCTCCATACCTCCCAGCCTCATCTGCGTGGGCAGGCACTGTCAGGAGAGCCTGGCCAGCCTCGCAGATGGCAGTCACAATTAAAGGTCTCTGGCCTGCTCAGCGATCTTCCTATCACCCCCATCACCACTGTCCTCCACACTTCTTCAGACTTCTCCACCCTGTTCACTTTGGCTCTCGGGCAGCAGGATGCCACCCAGAAGGCATGCACACAGGCAGACCTTGCCTGGCTTCCTTCCAGCCGTGGGGCGGCTGGGGTGTATGCTCCGCAGTATACACTTGCTCCCCGCCTCTTCAACTCAGCTGTAAACCCAGGCCACACCTGTTCCTGGCTCCCCTCCCTCCTGATTTGACAGCCTTGTGTGTTGGTGGTCTCCACACTCCACAGACTGGACACAACCTCTAAGCCCCAGCCTCTTTCCTGGACTCCAGGCTGCTGCAGCCTCCCTGTAATGTACCCTGGCCGCCACTCCTTGCCCTCCCTGGCTTCTGGTGAGAAGAGTCCTGGCTGCTGGGCAAGTCTGGGACAAAGCAGTACCTGCACTCCCCATTCAGGTAGTAGGTGTGGGGCAGCCTTTCCCCAGGGAGCCTGGCACACAGCCAGCCTCCTTTGGGCTCTACCTGGCCAGGGACAAGGTCCTTCATCCCCTGAGGGCAGGAGGCTACTGACCAGGGCTTGCTCCAACTCTGGCTTTGCTTACCCCAGCCAGCACCTTCCCGGCCCCAGCCAGTCCTCGGCCCTGGAGCGTGGCCCGAGCTCACACGCTCAGAGGCCCACACCTGGCTGCCTGGCGCTGCCTGTCAGCGCAGGTTCTGGCCGAGGCCCTGTCTGCTTTGGAATAGTAGGGTAAGAGGGAAAGGCGAAGGAGGCAAGGACTGAGAGAGAAGAAAAAAATGCAGGCAAGACAGGGAGACAAGAAGTTCAAGGGGCTTCCCCATCCCTATAAAATCGGGGAAGGCTGTAAAGTCTCCCCGAAGGGGCAGCAAAGCCTGAGAGAAGAAGCAGAGGAAGCAGATCTCAGCAGTCTCCTCCTGTCGTCTAATCAATCAGCCTCCACACCCACCCGCTTCTATCTCTCCATCGGGGCATCTAGTCACTTTCTAGGGAGCCGAGCAGCAGAGAGGGGAGGGAGGCAGGGAGAGAGAGAGAGAGAGAGAGAGAGAGAGAGAGAGAGACAGAGACAGAGACAGAGACAGAGACAGAGAGACAGAGACTCACTCCTGCCATAACCTAAGCTCTTCTTGCCGAGTTCAGTCTCCAGGTGGGGCAACGGGCAGAGAGGAGATTGAGTCAGTGTGTGTGCTGGGACGACTGCAGAAAAGACACTAGATCTCTTCACTGCGTGGCCCTGTGAGAGTGGTGGGGAGGGCTGCTGTAGGTCTGCACATCTGAGGTGTCTCCATGCTGAGGGAAGGGGCACACACACGGAGGAGATGCGTGCCCTAGGGTACACCTGAAAGTCGGGCGGCAGGGAGACCCCGCAATGTGCGGGGTTAGTGTGTGCGCGCTCGGAAGAGCACAGATCTTTGTTAGCCCACAGACCAGGCAGCTAACGGCTGGTCAGACACGGGAGCACAGCGCCTCCTGCTGGCCAAGTAGTCCCACCCACTGCAACTTGTCAGCTCAAAGCCCTTGTTTAACCCTTGCCGGAAGACCCGGCCCGCGACTTCTGCCGGAAATTCGAGGCCTCCAACACCCTCTGAAAGGCTGTCTCCCTACCCCGAGGGTCTGTTCCCCATGGAGCCACCGTTCACTGTCACGATGGATCTTGGACCCTGTCAGAGAAAAGAACAATAGCCCCGGAGCTGGCAGAAGGCAGAGTCTCAGCCACCACTGTGCCTGTACCCGAGTCTTCTGGAGCTCGGGGCTGAACACGGGGCTGGGAGGGCTCTCCTCTCTTCTGCACCTGCTCCCGGGTACTGGGATGGAGTGGACTTGGGACAGGCTACTTCTTGGTGGCCCCTGTCAACCCAAGCCGGGAGACTCCCTGTGCCCACCACTCCCTCCCCGCCCCCCCCCCCCCCCCGGCGAGGGGCCAGCCCCAGAACTCCGGGGGCACAGGCTGTGGATTCGATGGATGAGGTCTCCCCCTGCTGGCCAGAATGGGTACTCGCAGCCTGGCTCCTGGCAGCCTGGGGCGAGCTGCAGAAGTGGGAAGGTGAGCGAGGGATGATAGGGCCGGAGGTTGAGTAGGAAGGAAGGAAGGAAGGAGGGTTTCCAAAGTTCCACAGGCATACTCTGCCACACAGTGTTACCTATCAGCCAGGGAGGCAGGCAGGCAGGCAGGGTTGGCTGTGGCTCCCATTGACAGATGTCTAGACATCCACGGAATAGAGCTGGGTGGTCCACTCAGGCCAGCCAGGTGTGGAGCTTCTTTGCCTTTGGTTAGGGCATCTGCTGGCCTTTCAGGCCTCTCCTCCTCAGAGGCAAAACTGAAGGTCAAAGGGAGGGATTCCCATACAAGAGGAATAGGAGCACCAGACAGGTGTGGCTGGGAGAGCAGAAGCACGCCTGAGTGCAGGCAGGAGTGCACATCACAGACCTTTCCCACACACGCTACAATCACTCACTTGCTGAGGTGGCTGGCCTGTTTGCACCAGCATTTCACCATCCATTGTCTGGTTTTCTCCTCACAACAACCCTCTATGTTGGTAAGAGTATCCCTACCTCACAGATATTGTAACCGAAACTCTGAGAGCTTATGTTACCCAAAGTTGCACAGCAGGATTTGAACTTGGGTTACCTGCCTTCAAGATGGACTCCTTGACTGTGTCACAAGCTGCCCATTATGTGGCTCCCGCCCTTTCCTCTCAAAGATCCAGCCAGTCCCAGGCACCTTGCTCCTTCTGCTCACCTGATCCTCATAACTACCCCGTGAGGAAAGCATTTTTATCCCCACTTTACAAGAAATGGAGTCTCTGAGAGGCTAGGGAGGTTTCTGAGGAGTGTCTGTGGCAACCAGAGGCAAGTAGACAAGGTTGCGGGGAGGACTGGGGAACTCAGGCAGAGGCAGATGTAGGAACAGTCTGGGCAGGAAGAGACTACATCACGTGTGAGAGGAACAAGAGCTGCTCCTTCAGAGACAGAGTTGCAGCATCACCCTTTGGACACTCTGAGGTACAGAGAAGGGAGTTCAGGCTGTCTTCTTCATGTGACAGAACCTGTGAGATCACCCCTTTGGCATCTCAAGAGCTGTTGTTCCCTTCTCCTTCACCTTGCCTGGTGCACTCTGGCTCTGTTGCCAAGTGGAAGAGACTTGACATAGCTGAGGAGTGAGGGGAGCGGCTTGGGCATATGACATGGTGAGGACCCCTCCTTCTTGCTCCCACCTTCCTGGATGCTAGTTGCATTTCTAATCATGGTCATCTTTTCCAAAGTAGTAGCATAGATTAAGTTCCCAAGCCAAGGTGCTGTTGTACATGGACTTCTTCGTCTTGTGGGCCCCCCTGTCTCTCTCATCCTCTAGGCCTCCCTTGGCTTCAGCTCCCTTCTTTGCATAGAGAAGCTGTCTTGGGGTCTCCTTGTACCCTGTGTAGACTGTGGAGGAGGAGGCAGTAACAAAGAGGTGGGGTGATGGGCCAGGGTACCTCAAGAGACTTCTGGAGAGAATTGGAGGCAGAACATGAGGATCAGTGTTTTATTGGGAATCCCCAACCCAAACTCCAGCAGCCCCATTCCAAGCAGCCCTGTCCAAAAATAAATAAGGTGGTATTGAAGGAAGCAGCCTGTCTCCCTGCTGAGGCACTCTGGGGAGCTGCACTGGCCCCAAGGGCCTGGCTGTAGTTCTGAGGGGTGGGGAGTGTGGGGAAGCAGACACAGCACCCCTTTCTGGCCTGGCCCCAGGGCAGCATGTAAGCTTGGCACTGCTTTCCAATTTTTGAGGTCTGACATTCCAGCATCACAACCTGCCCTGACCCAGAAAAACCTGGTCCCCATGAGACTCCCGCTCTGGCCCCCTCCCAGAGTGCCCCATCATGGTCCCTGCTTCCATCTCAAACTGCAGCCTGGGGATTCTGGCGCCTCTTCCCCAGCCAAGAAGCAGCTGTGGAGAAGGAAGCTCTACTGTCACATTTTTCTTCTTTTTCTCCTGTGATTTTCGCCCTGCTGATGCTGGTCAGTGGGCAGTCAGCTCTATGGTCTTCTTGCGCTCCTCACGTTGCTCCTCCCAGTCCTCCTCAGGCTCGTATGTGCCCTTGATGATGGCCACACGCTCGCTGAGGCTCAGGGAGTGGGGGGACAGCAGATAGAAGTAGAGCATGGCAGCCAGCACGGCTCCCACGATGGGGCCCACCCAGAACACCTGGGAGAGACAAGTAGCCATTAGAAGATGAGGCCCAGGCTGCAGGGACCATGACGCCCAACCTCCACCTGAAGACAGACGCATGGACCCGTGGAGAAGATGGACATGTAGCCTTCTAGACCTCCAGAAGGAAAGATTCCCTCCCACCCTGTGGACAGACATCCTGACCCCTTCACGAAGCAGAGATAGACATGGATCACAGACATGCAGAGGAGGTTGGTAGATCTCCCGGGGCCAGCCCCTCCTCTCCCACTCTAAAGAGGGACAAGTAAACTTTCAGAAATGACAAACACAGATCTGCAGAAATGGACAAGATCTCCCCTCCACACCAAGATAGCCCTGGAAGGATGACTATGAGCTAGGAAAGGAGATGACAGGCAGCCCAGGGCAGCAGATCCATAGGAGCCCCGTGGCATCCAGAAAGGCTTTTCTGCACCATGGCTGCACTGCCAAGCCTGCATCTTCAGGGAGTCAGAGGACAGGTCAGACTCACCCAGTGCGAGGAGCTGAACCGATTCATGACCACTGCAGGGCCGAAAGAGCGAGCTGGGTTCATGGAGCAGCCAGTGAAGTAGATCTGGATGGACCGGGAGCAGCAGTGAGGGGACATCACCCCCTCACTGCCACAGAAGCTGGACTCTCAGGAGCACGTGGAAGTCCAAGGGCTCAGCCAGGTCTCAACCCCAAATCTCTTGATTCCTGGGCTGCTGACCTCATCAGCCACAGATCCGGGCTGTCCACTCAACCATGGACCCCTACCCATGTCTTCCTCTCCTCCCACCCCTACTTCTGTCTTCCCATGGTTTGGAAAAGGCTTGGCAACAGCTAGTCTGGAGCCCAGCAGGGCAAGTCCAGCAGCCACAAGGTGAAGCCTTGAGCTCTGTTGGAAGACTCAGCAGCCTGGAGGGAATGCTTCTTGGGGGTTGCCTTTATTTGCCCCAGTAGCTCCCCCAAGTAGCACTCCTGCCAAGAGTCAGCACCACTCACCCCCACAAGGTGGCCCAGTGTGACAGAAAGACCAATGGATAGGGCCGGGGTGCCCACAGGGCTGGAGCGGCGTGTGTCAGTGGAGGCGAAGATGCAGAGTGCCAGCTGGAAGGTCAGGATGAGCTCTACCACCACAGCCTGGCCTGTCGTGATGTTGTTGTTGAGCTGCAAGGGAAGGCTGGGTTAGGACCCCAGCTGCTTCCGGCTGTCTGGCTGGGCCTGCAGGATCAGGCTTTTGGCCTCCAAGGAGGACACTTGGAGTCTGAGCACCTGGAAGCCAAGCCCTGTGTATGCCACCTCAGAGAGGCCATTTGTCAAAGACTGTGTACTTCACAGTTTGCACAAGCTTGAAGCTCAGGCTGTGGCTAAATGGCAGAGTGTTGGGAACTTTTCTTGGATACTATCCTGTCAACAGCTCTGCCCAATCCCCACCCCCCATAGACTGGCATTTACCCTCCCTCCTGTGGGCAGCTGCCCAGTTTGCCTACTGCAAACTGCCCCCAGCCTCCTACCCATGCCCGATCTGCTGCTGGTGCCAACCACAAACCCGTCTCTCCAGTGTGGCTGACTCACGGTTTGACAATGGCCATGAAAATCCTCCTCTGTATTTGATTAATGAACCTAGTTTGCTGGGACAGGGGCTGAACCCTGGGGCTGCAGAAAGGGAGGCTGCAGAGAGGGAGCAGAGGGGTGAGGAAAGGGGGAACCAATATTTGACAGAGACCACTGTGCACGGGCACCATATTAGGGGGTCACATTTAAATGTAATTCTTATGACACCTGTTGTGTTTTGACCACTCCTGTGTGCTGGCCAAGAAGAGTGAAGCACAGAAGTGGTTGGTGGCACATGCCTGTAATCCAAGCACGAGAGGCTAAGGCAGGAGGATTGCTGTGAGTTCAAGGCCAACCTGGGCTACAGAGTGAGCTGAAGGCCAGCCTCAACTACACAGCAAGACTCTGTCTCAAAAATATAATAAGATCAAATAAAATAAAATAGTGAAGCACAGAGGTGCCATGGTTACCCCCAACCAGGATTGCAACTGGTTTCTTTCTGGCTGCTCCATGAAAACTACTCCACTAGAGCAGACAAGAGGGGAGAGGGGTTCAAGAAGAAGGGGAACTCAAAGAAGAGGCCAGAGTGAAGGCAGAGGGGGCCAGGGTGGGGCAGAAAGGAGACAGATGTGAAGTAGGTTGGATTTGGTGGGGGGCACAGGTTGGCTGGAGATTCATCTGCCTGGTCTTCCTGGCATGGGTGTGCATGCCCCACTCAGCTGACCCATTCCCAAGTTGGGCCATGGGGGCCCGCTCCAGAGCACACCCCATTAGTCCTGCCCACCCTTCCCTCTGTGGGATGGGCACTCACCGCGTTGACGGCCAGGTTACCCCGGGCATTGGTCGGTGCCACTCCGTAAAGGATGCCTGCTCCGGCAATGGCACCCACGAGCTGCGCTATTACATAGAAGACAGCCCGGAGCAACGAGATCTGGTTGCCTACCAAGAGCGCCAGCGTGATGGCCGGGTTGATGTGGCCTCCGCTCACCGGCCCCAGGGCTTGGGCCAGGGTGCCTATAGCCAAGCCAAAGGCCAGCGAGATCTGCAGAATGGTGGGCAGTGCCGATGGCCACTTGAGGGCTGAACCGAGGCCGAAGAAGACGAAGATGAGGGTGGCCAGGAACTCTGCAAACACCGCCTTGAGGAAGGCCACGGAGCACACCTCCTTCTTCATGTTGGCCTCGG